CCAACCCAAGGTCATTTTGGGGTTCTACCACCTCCCCACCCCCACCCCAACATAGTTTTGGGGGGCAACCACGTCTTCCTCCCCCAACCCAACGTCATTTTGGGGTTCTACCACCTCCCCCTCCTCAACCCAACGTAGTTTTGGGGTTCAACCACCTCCCCATCTCCATCCTGAGGTCATTTGGGGGTTCTACCACCTCCCCCCCCCCAACCCAAGGTCATTTTGGGGTTCAACCACCCCACTTCCCCCACCCTGACATCATTTTGGGGTTCTACCACCTCCCCACCCCCACCCTGACATCATTTTGGGGTTCAACGCCCTCCCCCTCCTCAACCCAACATCATTTTGGGATGCCACCACCTCCCCCCCAAACCTCCTGAGATCCACCACCCCCTCCCCCAAGCCTTTCCCACCCAAACCTTCTCCCCCTCCCCCTTCTGGGGGTTCCCGTGCCCCTCCCCCCCCACTTTTTTTGGGGGGGGTGACAAGGTGTTCCCTCCCAAATTCTTCTCCAGAACATCAGCATGTCGGTGGAAGGGGACTACACCTACCTCCGCATCAACTTCTACTGCCCGGGCAGCGCCTTGGGTCGCAACGAGGGCAACATCTTCCCCAACCCTGAGGCCACCTTCGTCAAGGAGATGTGAGCCACCACCGGGGACCTTCTCCTGGTCATGCTCCTGGTCCTGGGTTTGGTCCTGGGCTTGGTCTTGGACCTGCTCCTGGTCCTCCTCCTGGACCTGGACCTTCTGGTCACGGTCCTGGACCTGGGCCTGGGCCTGCTCCTGGTCCTGCTCCTGGTCCTGGTCGTGATTATGGTCATGGTCCTGGTCCTGGTCCTGCCCCTGGATCTTCTCCTGGTCCTGGTCTTGGACCTTCTTCTGGTCCTGCCTCTGGACCTGCTCATGGTCCTGCTCCTGCCCATGGTCCTGGTCCTGGACCTGCTCATGGTTCTGCCCCTGGACCTTCTCCTGGTCCTGGACCTGCTCCTGGTCCTGCCCCTAGTCCTGGACCTTCTCCTGGACCTGCTCCTGCTTCTGCTCCTGCTCCTGGTCCTGGTCCTGGTCCTGATCCTGCCCATGGACCTTCTCCTGCCCCTGGTCCTGGACCTGGTCCTGGTCCTCGTCCTGGTCTTGCCCCTGGTCCTGGACCTGCTCATGGTCCTGCTCCTGCTCCTGGACCTGGTCCTGGTCCTCGTCATGGTCCTGGTCCTGGTCCTGGACCCGGACCTGCGCTTGGGCTTGGTCCTGGACCTTCTCCTGGACCTGCCCCTGGTCCTGGTCTTGATCCTGGACCTGGACCTTCTCCTGCCCCTGGTCCTGGACCTTCTCCTGGTCCTGCTCCTGGTCCTTGGGATGGGGTGTGGTTTGGGGG